GGTGGGGTGGGCAGCGTACAACGCCAGGTTGCAGGGCATTGGGCTAAGTGTCAGCTACCGGCACCCTCTCCACCGGCTCCGATCTTCTTCCCTCTCTGGTTGGTGCTTTCCTCCCCTCCCCCCTTTATAACTCCGCTCTCAGTTTCTCTCTTCAGCTCCTCCTTCATGTACTATTTCTTCCAAACTTCTATCCACTTTCTTCCTCCTCATTTTTTCATATCCTCCCCACTTTTCTTCTCCTTCTTCTGTTCTTTTCATCTCTTTCGTGTTTCCTTTTGCCCCTCTCTCCTTTTCTCACTGCCCCCTTCTCTCTCCTTGCCCACTCCTCCCTTCTTCCTCCTCCCTCCTCCTGCATGAGCAAGTGCTCCCACTTCTGCATGGACACAGGCCTGATGCTTCCAGCCTTGGCCTTACCTGCTAGGGACAGGGTCTGGGGTAGCTAGACTCTCAGGTTCCCCATGGACACGCAGGCTTTTGCAATGAGGGTGCTCAGCGATGGTGGGCCAGGGCCTCAGCAGGAGCCAGGCTGTGCTTCCCATGGGCCACTGGGCACAAGACAGAGTGGCTCCTGCTACTCTGTCCACTCAAGTGTAACACTCCCTGGGGACAGAGCACCCCCTGTGACCTCATTCCGAGTCTCTGATTTCAGGATCTATAACCTAGAGTCAGAAGCTCTGGGTGTGGTCCTGGGTCTGACTGTGACCACCTCTGTGACCATGGGCAAGTGTCTTCATTACTCAGAGCTCAATTCCCCAATGTGAAATAGAGAGATCACAATCCTGCCCTTTATATTTTACATGGTGGATTGATGTGCCCCAACATGGGGGACCCTCCATCAAGGGTCACTTTGCTCTGTTTGAGGGTTATGGAGTTCACTACGTCTACCTGAGTCTCCTGGACAAATGGGTTCATAGGCTTTTAGACCTGAGGACCAAGTCACCTCATCCTTTCCCTGCTTCTCGGAGCCAGGAGGCCTGGTCCAAGGAGAAGATGATGCTCAGACTTTCCCCATGGGGTGACCTTGATCAGTTCCAGAAAAAGGCTTATTAGGGTGGTGGTGGGCACAGTTGACTCCCAATACCAATATCTGGTATTTTCTGGACCCTCCTTCTCCTAGTCCATGGATAATGGGGAGATGGCTCTAGCAGAATGCCCCTGTCTGCCTCCTCTCCTCTCCCTCTACCTTTTTCTCGGCCCAGTGGTGGGGAGTGCAGGGTTCAGCTGGGCCTGGGATTTGGGGCCGTTCTGGGGTGGTAGGCCTGTCCTGAGGGGAGCTGGCATGGCTTGCCCTGGGGCTGCTAGTGTGATCGCCGTGTGGCTTTCTGGTGCCCTGGCCCAGCAGGTGGCCTCCCGGATCCCCTCACTTCTGGAGCCCCCGGCATGCAGTTGGACACCTGCCCTGTCATCTGGAGCTGAGGAATCCAGTCTTCTGGAAATTGGAAGGCTGGAAGGAAGAGCTGGGTCTGTGGGGTGGACGCCACCAGGCCGGGCTTGTAGGGAAGCCCTGTGATAAAGCCTGGCACTGGAGCATTTGTCCATGGGACCCGGGGTGGTTGGGGTTGGGCCCTGCCAGAGTGTATTGATGGTGTAAGGGCTATAGTCTCCAGAATCAGTGTGTGTGAATGTGTGTGTGTGTGTGAGGTGAAGTGGATTTAGTGCCTCAGTTCCAGCCTGCTTTAGGGAAGAGTGAGCCTTGGAGCCAGCTGCTCCCTCAAGCCCAGCACCATCCTGGGAAGCAGAGTGAGGACCCCTGGGAAATGGGACTGTTTGGGTGCCCTGCTTTTCAGGTCTGGAGACTTGCGTGGAGGCCCTGGGCTGAAGTGACCCCTATCCTGCAGGCAGTTGGGAAGGCCCACAGTGTGAGCAGCTCTCAGAGGACAACGGAGGGCTCCTGAGTGTGGCAATTGTTAAAGAACACTGCATGGCCATAAGCACATCCCACTTGGGGCTGCTCAGCAGCGTTGCTGGGAAGCCCTTCCAGAGTCTTCCACTGCCTCCTTCCCCCTTTCTCCATGAGCTTCCCCTGGCTATGCTATCGAAGGGGTTCTGAGGGTTGCTCTGGGTGAAGCCTGTGTATGTGCACATGTGTGTGCATGTGTGTATGTGTGTGATGCTTGTGTGTATGTAGGGAGTGGAGCACATAGGGAGGGTGGCCCTGTGAGAGAGAATGAGACCTGGAGACTGAGAAAGGCCTGGGGTTGAGGGTGGTGGAGGGGAGAAAGGCGGCGGGGGGAGGGGAGCAGGCTTATTTTTATTATCGGTCACTTTCCAGGACGTGAGGGAGGGCTGTTCTCTCTCTGACACTGGCTGTCAGCCTGTGTCCAGATGCCCAGCTTGGCCGAGGAACAATGGGGCTCTCTTCTCTCCCCTCCACCCTGCTTCATCTCCCCTCCCGTAGGGAAAGACAAGAGAGAGGGAACATGGCTCTCCAGGCACTGAGGGGCAGATCTGGGCCTGCCAAAGGGGACAACAGTGAGACACTGTGTTCAAAGAATGTGAGAGGCCCTGGCTGGCCACTGGTGCTGTGGGGCGCTCTGGGGGGAAGGGGCTGTCCCGTGGGAGTGGAATGTGGGGTCTTCCCCCTTCTGCAGAGGGAGGCTCCCCTGCAATGCTTGAGCTCTTTGGAGGTCATTCTGGCTGTTCCCCTGCCTCTGGACAGACCGCACTCCCATGTGCCAGTCTGGTGGCAGTGGAGAGAGGAATTGAAGAGGTGAGATGGCTCTCAGATTTCCAACTGCCTTCTGCTAGGGTCTCTCATCCTCCACAGTTGGGAAGCCCCTCTGGCAGTCCAGCCTCCCCTCCAGGCATTGCAACCATCTGAACTTGGAGAGCGTTCTGGGCACACCAGGGAGAATGTTCTTTGTCCCTCTGGGAGACTGAGGGCCTCAAACAGACCCACTTTCAAGGGCAGACATCAGATCTGACACAGGGAAACTGGCTACCCCTCACCAAGGCACAGGGATCTATCTGCCAGGAAGAGGCTTCGGGCCTTTGCAGCCGGAACTAAAACCAGCCCTAATGCATTTCTGCTAACCTTGGGGCTGAACTCAGTTCCAAACCCCAAGAGCCTTTCCCAAATGGGCCTCCTTTGTCACAATTATTATTAGAAAATCAATGGCTATGTCTGTTACTCTCTAATGTTTTTGCCAGGAATGAAACTAGCAGTAATTCTGCCTTGAGCTGTCCAGGAGGGCTGAGGGGAAGGGGGCTCAGTGGGGGAGGGAGAAGTGTGGCCTGAGGGCAGGGGCACCTTCAGGGATGGTGGGAGGTGCAGGGTCTGTTCTGAGGGCTGGGGGCCCAGGATTGCAGTGGGGTCCCTGTGCGCTGCTCAAGACTTTCAGAGATGCACTCCATCTTTCATCTGGCCCTTGGTTAGGACGATGTGACCCTCAATTTTCTATTCTTAAAGTCAGGGTACTTCAAAGTGAAGAGCTTATTTGCTTTAAGTAAAACAATTTGTGAGTCCAGATTACAGTCCCCATTTGGGCTCTTTTGTCTGTTTAGATGGCAGGCAGGCTGCCTCTTAGTAATAAATAGCTCCACGTGGAGACTCAGAACACCACAGGTACCTTCTGCATTTGTAAAGGTGTGTGCCAGTCCAGCGGTTCTCCAGCCGGGGACTCTAGTTATGGTCGAGTATGAATGTCTCAGAGTGTGTGTGTGTGTGTGTGTGTGCGCGCGCGCGCCTGTCCCTAGACTTGGCATTCAGCAGCCGGCTATTCATAACAAGTAAGAAGGCTTCCTAGCATGTGTTTCTCATGGCAGCCTTAGTGGCTTTGCCAGATGGGAGCTGGGAGGCTGCCCATGGTGTACAGACCCCCACTCTAGGTGGTAGATGATTTAGTCTGAATGAGGGTGATATCTGCTTGGCTTCACTGGCACATTCCTAGGGGCCAGCAGTGTATGTGGGTGTGTGTGTGCATGTGTGTGTGTGTGCGTGTGCATCTGTGCCATGGGACAGCATTCCCAGGTGTGCTGGCATGAGGCTCTTGTGGCCAGGGTCTCAGTCCCACGTAAACTTTGGTAAATCCCAGCACCTCCCCTCACCTGATCTGCTCTTAGGTGTGGTGAAGGCTGGACTGAGAACCTCCTGGCACAATATGATCAGGACTAGGAGCCTGTTCTCAGACTGGGTCTTGGCCTCTGGGACCCCAGGTGTAAGTTTTCTAGGATTCTCGTGCCAGCTTGGTGAGGCAGTGGGTTCCGTGCCTCAGCCCAGCTGTGGGAAGAGAGAGTAGGAAGGCAAGAGGGTGGGGTTAACAACATCCCCAGGCCTGTGGGATGGAAGGAAGTACAGAAAAGCAGATGGAGTGCATGACTCCAGCTCTTTGCCTGCTGTTCTGCTGGGAGGGCCAGAGTGGGAACCTGGACCAGCTTTGGGGCAAGAAAAGGGCTGGGTAGCTAAGGGCTGGCATAAGGGAAGTTGGTACGAGGTTTCAGAAGTGCACTGGATGAAGTTGGGGAACCCCAGAGAAGGTCAGCAATATTCCAGGGGCCAGTTGGGGCTGGAGACTTTATAATAAGCCTTAGTCATTTCTTTGTTCCTTCTTGGGAGCACCATTCGCAAGATGATGCATTATTCGCTCTTTCCAAAAGTTCTTCCCCACAGGCCTGATGTTGCTTGTTGGTTGATCAGTCGCCTTGGAGACTGTCTCTCCTCCCTCCACCTTCCCTCATTTGCCTGGAAGCTCTGGCCCTCTGCCTCCAGGCCTTGGAAGAAGCTGACATCTGTTTCTTGTATCAGTCCTTTGTGCTCTGGGCCCCAACCCTGAGCGAAGTAGATTCCTGGTGAAGGCCAGCCCAACCTAAGCAGGTCCCCCACCCTGCAGAGAAGCCCAGGGTGTGGTCAGAGGGAGGCAAGGGGGAGGTGCAGAGGGGAGACAAGCCCAGCTCCAGCATGGCCCCTGAGCTTGCACTGTCTTCTCTGGGGGAATTAGGCCCAATCGATCCTTTCTCGTACAATATGCTCACGGCCCTCTCTGCCCTGCCATTCCTCCCAGGGGTGCAGGCTCGGGAGAAGCAGCCTGCAGAGCCCCCAGCTCCTCTCCGGAAGCGGGCGGCCAGCGATGGACAGTATGAGAACCAGTCTCCAGAACCCTCATCTCCCCGGAGTCCTGGGGTTCGCTCCCCTGTTCAGTGCGTGTCCCCGGAGCTGGCTCTCACCATCGCGCTCAATCCTGGAGGGCGGCCCAAAGAGGTGAGTCCTCAGGTCACATTCTGGGGCCACAGAGGGTAGCAGAGCCTATCTGAATGCCCCAGGAACATGATGGTCAACTGAGTGACACTGACTTGTCAGTAAACCAGATAATTTTTTTTCTCCCCGCATCCTTACCTAGGGCTCTGGCATGTGGAATCTGGAGCTCATTTCCTTCCCTAAATAGCTTTTATGTCCTCACATCTTCCATTAACACTGAGATTGAGTTCCCTTCTTGCTTCCTAAAGAGCACTTTGAGCATCCTGGGTATGGCACAGGGGACCACAGTCTGTAAACTTCAAACCAGGTCATAGTCTGACAGTATTTTTGAGCCCTTTCTAGATAAAGGATCTTCTCTGGAGATATAATTTCAATGCCAAAATGTTTGCATTTCTGAGACGTTTCAGTGGTTTGGGGCAGTAGGTATTAAACTTCAGTGTGCGTAACAATCACTAGGAGTTTGTCAAAATGTAGATTCCCAAATCCATCTCCGGACATTCCTGCATGTTAGCTCTGGGATGGTGCCTAGGAATCTGCATTCTAGGCCTGCACTCTGGAAGCTTCTGATGCGAGTAGTCCATGTCTGACAAAGTCCAGGCTGAGTCATTCTGGACATGAATGGCTTTTGGACATCTTTTCTCTCCTGTCTTCTGCCAGGACCTGAGTCCCCTGCCCCCGGACCCTTCTCTTTGGCCCTGTTCTGAAGTATTTCCAAGGCAGGAGCTCCTGAATTCCACCTGGGCCTTACAACTGGCCTTGCAAAATAGCCACTTTCCGTTCCCTTGGCTACAAGGAGTTGTTGGGGCCATGAATGGGCAGCATCTGCCTTTGACCTCTGTGTTCACTTGGCAGGGGTGGAAAGTCAGGCTGGTGAGGGGCATTGTGGGCTTGTTAACTGGGAAATGCCTCCTTCTCAAGATCATGACCACCAGTGTACCCTTTTCCTCCCTTGTTTTTCCCCTGCAGCCCCATCTGCATAGCTACAAGGAGGCCTTCGAGGAGCTGGAGGGAACCTCTCCTACCAGTCCACCACCCAGTGGGGGTAAGACCTCCCCATTAAACCTGTCTTTCCTGGGTCCCCTCAGGCACCTCTCAACCCCCCGCCTGTGTAAGCACCCCAGGTCTGTGGTAGGGGGTCCTGGCAAAGTTGGGCAGAGCCACAGTCTGTCCCTAATGGTCCTATGGCCCATTTCACTTCACCTTCCACCCCCCATTTCTCTTCTTTCCTGTTGTCCACACTCCCACATCTAAGGAGGCAGCAGGGCAGTCTTAGGATCCCACTGACTAATGATGGGGCCCCTGGGCTCCCATGGTGGAGAGCTTTCCTAGATGTTGAGAGTCTTTGCATCCTGGGTACAAAACATCTCCTACCTTAAAGTGACTCTTTGTGACTTGCTTGCGTGTCTCTGAGACAATGCTGGACCTTCTGGCTTCTAATGCCCATTTCTGTGTGCACTCAGGCTCTTCACTCAATTTCTGTCAAGGAAAGAAAGGCCTGGCATGCTCAGACTGACTGGCCTTTAGGCAGGAGCATTAGTCTGTACCCCTGATGCCCTCACTGGAGAGGCAAATCCCCAAAGGGCAGAGGTACTTCTACTCAAAGAGAAGACCCAGATGAGCACAGGAGTGGGACAGTGTTTCTCTTTATGGTAGACGAGACATGCAGAGGAGCTTGGAGAAACCCTTTGTGGGAAAGCAGTGAAGGAAGGACACCAGGCTTCGAAGGACTTGGGGTCCCTATGAAAGGCCTGGGTCAGCAGAGGAGAGAGAGGCTGGTGTTCCTCTGGGATTCGGTTGGCTGGGCCAGGCCCCAGCTATTTGTACATTTGCCCTGGTGAGAGGGGAGGAGTGTGAGGAGGAGAGCTGGAGCTGGCCGTGTGTTCTCCCAGTGGCTGGCTGATCTGCGGAAGAAGGAAGGTGGCACCAGAACTGGGCCCTTGCTACAGCAGAACTCTTGTCGGCTATCATCTTGGGCATGCAAGAGGCTGACTTTGTGACTGGAGGCCAGGGGTCTCCCTAGAGCAGTGCTGTCCAATGGAAATATAACATGAGCCACATTTGTTATTTAAACATTTTAAAAGCCACATTAAAAACATAAAAGAAAACTGGAGAAATTAAATTTAATGATCTTTTTATTTAACCCCAGATATTCAAAATATTATCATTTCAATAGGTAAATCAATATAAAAACAGTAATGAGATATTTTTTAACCTTTTAAAAAATGTAAGAAGAAACCTGGAAACTAACTTTAATAATAGGTTTTATTTAACCCCAGAGGTCTAAAATATTATTTCAACATGGAGTGATATATTGAGATATTTTGTGCTCTGGCTGCATACCAAATCTTTGAAATCTGTGTGTGCTACGACTCTTGGTTCAGACTGGCCACAGCGCAGGTTCTCCACAGCCCCGTGGGGCTCATGGCTACCCTATTGGACAGTGCAAGCCCCGGGGCAGTATGCTCAAGAGAGCTCTGTGGCCTTTTATGACTCCATGGAATCTCTCTCCCTGGTCTTACCCTTCACCTTCACACCTACTCTGATTCCCTGTTGGTCCAAACAGCCAAGATATTGGCCATCACCCTGTTTGGGATGGAAGCCATGTGGGCCAAGCCTGGGTTGGGTTTTGCCACTTGTTTCCATTCCCATTTTTTCTTTCTCCCCTTGGTGAGCCCTGGGTGCCCTAAAAGGGGTGGGGA